GATGGTATACAGGAAAATTGCAGTTATGAAAGAAGAAGCAGCAGGATTGTCATTTTTTTAAAAATTGTTATATATAGAAGCGGTGGTGGGAGAGGGGAGAAATGAAAAATGTTTGCGATTTCATTTCGGAATTCAAAACCGAAATAAAATCAAGAATCGATTCTGTTCCATTTCCATGGAGCCTTGTTTTTTTGGTTTCACTACGGTCCATCTTCTTCACATTCGAATCGTAGTGGTATTGTGTGTGTGTGGTGGAAACCCCCACCAATAATTGGCTATATCAAAAATGAATTTTCTTTTCGTTCGAAAGTACATGTGGAATCGGCTTTTTTTGTTGTTGTTGGCGAAAATAACGGATCATCATCAAACGTTTCTGTTTCAATTTTTGTTGTTGTTTTTTTCATTGAAAAAGAGCAAATATCAAAGCATCATTCATCAATTATCTTCTCGTTTGATCGATATGGATTATTTCAATTTTTTTTTGATTGATCATCATTGATTGATTGATTGATTGATTGTTATTGATAATTTTTTTTTGTTCAATGAAAATCAATTCATTATCAATTTTTTTTCGTTTTTTCATTGACGGTTTAATCACTGATAATGATTGAATTAAGCAAAATTTAAGATTAAATTTTTTTTTCTTTTTTTTTTTGTTGGTGATCCGATCGATTCGAATGTTGAACAGAAAAAAAAACGAAATTACAGTGAATGTTTGGTTTATTTATGGAAATCTGAAGACAGATAATTTGATTGAAATGTGATTACCACCTTTCTTCCAAAGTGATCCTACTAGCCATTCGGATATGCAAACATTTTATTATCCTTTTTTCTTCGAATTATATCCATCACCACCACCACCAGGAACAGAAATTCAAATTTCTTTTTTTGATTCGATGATGATAACCAGATAGAAAAAAAAACATTCAAGATGGAAGAAGAAAAAAAAAATAACCGACCACTACCATTGTTGATAATAAAAAGCATATATAGTTTGAAGAAGGAAATCCATTTCCATTTTGATTTTTAATTTCATTTTTATGTTTTTTGTTTTACGGATAGCAAAACTGTTATGGTTACCGTTATTGTGGGGACCAAAATTGAATCCAACAAAACAAAACAAAAAAAAACAAACAGAAAAAAAATCATTAACCAAAAAAAATATGAAAAGGTTAAATGTCAAATAGGAACATGTTTTTTTTTCTGAATGGAGTTAGGTAGGTTGAAATAGGATTGCAGACCTGCTACTTCGGCTATATAATAATAATCAGGTAACCAATGGAATCAATGGAGATTCAGTTCATTGAATTTTAGGAAGGCTATTATGATAATCATGGTTGTGGTGGTGGTGGTAATCTTTATTCATTTTTTTTTTGGTTTGATTGACCGGTAAATTCAAGTTTGTTTTGTTAATGTTTATGTATGTAATCGATGATTATTATCAAGAAAGAAAAAACTAAAACTAAAATTAACTTGTTGCGCGTTTGGTTTATTCAAGAAAAGAAAAGAAGTAAAAATAAATTCATCGATAATCCGTGAATCAAAAGAAGAAAAAAATTTGCATCCAAAAGAAAAAAAATTTGGAAAAATTTGGGTAACGCACATTGTCGTCCTTGATGTTTCTTTTCCCATTCATTCATTTTTCATATACATGCTTTGTGTGTTGCTTTTTATTTTGTTTTTTTTCTCGAAAAAAAAAATTTGTTAATCATAATTATCACTTAATTCATTGACTTGAGCTTAATTATAATTATTAATATAGACAAATGAAGCCAACTATTTCATGGTTACAATATGGAAAATTGGGCAAATTAGTAGAAATAGTGGTAAAGGGGGAAAAACTAAACTACCGACACCACCACCACCGACTGACAATTATTTCGAAATCAATCAAAAATTTGTTGTTTTTTATCACCCAAAAAATCAAATAATCTTGTCTTTTCATTGCAAAAAAAAAACACAGGGAGACGGCATAGTAACGGTAACAACCACTTATGCCACCCACAAAAACATTAACACATTTTTCTCCTGAATCGATCCAGAAACAGGAAAAAAAAATTAATATCAAATTTCCAAGCAATTTTTTTCTTTTTTTGCATTAATTATCCATTCATTAATTATAGATTGATTGAGTTGAATGAAAATGGAAAAAAATGAAATCATTCTGCGTCGGTGCTCCAAAAATCAATCAAAAATTCGATGATTATGTCATGTCGAATGTTTTCCAAAAAATCAATATATTTTTTTTATTAGTTTTTTTCTTGTTCTGTTTGTTTCAAAATTATATGCTACTTGATTTTTCTGTTTCTTGATTTTTGGCAATTGATCAAATTGAATTTCAGATGACAAGATTCAGGTGTGAAACAATTTTTGATTGAGAAGAAAAAAAATAGATTTGAAAGAAATTGGCAGCAACGATTCAATTCGATTAACTTTTTTTGTTGATTTTGTTTTTTTGGGGAGAAGAAAATCTTATTATCACTTTCAATTGTTGTGTGGCTGTGTTTATAATATGATTATTATCTTCAAGATATTATCAATCATAACAATAATCATTTTGGAACATGATTCTTTGAACGAAAACATCCATTATCTTATTATGTTCGTTGTTTGTTTGTTTGTTTGTTTGACTGACTGACATTAAATAACCGGTTGACATGATGATGATAATGTTTTTTTCGTTATCTTGCCAAGATCAATGACTTATGTATGTTATACAATCATCATCATTTGGTGATTCGCTTCAATTGTTATTATTCGTTTGAATTTCATTTCATTTATGAACTTGAGAGAAAAAGTGATTTACACAGACACAGTCTGAATGAATGAATGAAATGACAAACTTTTTTTTTATCAAAAAAATGGGGATGTCATGCTATTGTAAGACGAGAATGGACATTTCATTTCCCTAAATAATGATGGATCTTTATAAGTTGTCGTTCAATATGGATTTGTCATCATCATTATTATCAAATGGGGGAGAAAAAAATGATTTAATGTCAACGATTGACCTTTTTTCCCAACAAAAAGAAATGGCGATTAAATCTGTAGATTTTTTTCGAGAGAAAGGAAGGAAGAAAATTTGCTTCATTCTATTGGATCGATATTCATAATTTTTTTTTTACATTCATTCATTGTTGAACACATGGCGCCCAAAAGTTGAATACTGAAGAAAAGAAACGACGAAATGACAATTTTGAATGAAACCATTATCATTTCATCATTATTATTATCGGCTGTTGTTGTTGTTGTCATCATCATCATTATTATCATTCATCTTGAGTTTAGAAACATACATAAACATTATTGAAGAAGGGATAAATAGAAAAGAACACCAAGGTGGAACCAACCTATGAACGAGAACAACAGAGACAATCATTTAAACTTGTTGCTGTTGAAGACATCCATCCAACCATCCATTTGATTCGATTCATTCAACCATCATTTTAAAATTATCATTGTAGAGTGAACCTGTTTAGAATACAGGGAGCGTTGAAGTGTCTAAAGGATAAAATATAGAGAAAAAAGAGAGTAAAGGGAGTATTATTACTGAAAAGAAATCAAGGAAGGAATTGAAATCATGGTTGATATGATGATGATGATCAACAATCATTAATGAAAATTGCTAACCACTAAATAGAAGCAAAAAAAAAAATGGGAAAGATACGATACAAAGATACGATGATGATGACGACAACATCAAATAATCATCATCATTACAATTATCATTATGATAATAATCATTATTATCAACATCAACAACAACAACAATGAAAGAAATCAGAACCTCATTTTAGTTTATCAATAGATTATTTTTTTTAAAGAGCAAGATAGAGAAAATCTAAAGAAAAAGAAAGAGAGAAGAAAAGAAAGATCTAAAATATTCAGCTTAATGCTGTTGTTGTTGGTATTCTTATTCATTTTTTTTGTTGAATTCTATTAAAATCGATTGCAGCAGCAAGTTATTAGAGAAAACAAAACGATAGAGTTAAATGTACAAAATTTTTCTGGAAACAGGCACGAAATATGATGAAAGAAACTTTATATATTTCGAAAAAACTGGGAGTGAACCCAGGTGTTTCGCTTTCGTTTATATTTTTCTTATTAAAAAAAATCTTTATAAATAATAAGAGAATAATGATAGTGTTTGTAAATGTGTTCTAACTGAGCAACAATTTTCGTCTCTTTTATTTTCTGGAAATTTCATTTATATTTGAAAAAAAAGTGAAGAGAATAGAGAATGTGTTAACCTTTTCTATATCTTTTATATTACATCATTAGAGATCTTTTTTCTTTTCTTTCTTTAGTTTCTGAATTACTATTTGGCAATATTATTATACCTTACCTAATGTTGATGATAATAATGATGATGACATGAAATGATTTCTTTCACGTCATGTCATGTCATTTGGATTCATATTATGAATATAAACCAAAATAATAATGCATGATAGTTGAATGATCTAAAAATGGTGTATACGCGATCATGGTTGATTGAAAATAAAACAAAAAACAACAAAAACAAAAAAATATCTATCTAGACAACAATTTTCAGACAATGGTTATGTAATGAAATCGAAATCAAACCAACAACAACAACAAAAACAAACCGGATTATATAATGATATATCGATTTTGGATGAACCAAACAAACAATTTCAAATTCTTGGAAGAAAAAAAATTTGATATTCGAATTCGAACGTTTTTTTTAAAAAAATACGAATACAGTTTTGCCATCTAGTGAAAAAGAACAGAAATATTTCATAAAGGACCTTTAAATTTTTCTCAATTCATTTTCCTTTCATTTAGGACGAATTGAATGAAAACAGGCTATATGAATAGCTCATTCGAACTCGAAAATTCTTCATGTTAAAAAATGCATGCATGTTGAATTGCGCAGCATTGCATGTGTGTGTGTTTTCTCTCACTTTCTCACACACATTTTCATCAATAGCACACCATATTTTCTTCGGTGCGGTTGGCCTATCAATAACGGTTTCAAATCATTTTTTAAAAATCATTTTCATTTCGAATATTTAATTTATATTTCAATTCAATAAAAAAATGTCTACCATTCTTCAAGCATCAAGATTATTATCACGAAACATAAGTTCGTCCATGTTTAAATTGCCGGTTCGAACACATGTTATTGAACATAATGTAAGTTGCAATTTTTTGAATTTTTGCTTTTTGAAGAACATAAACAATAATCTTTCGATTTGATATTTTCTTTCAGTCATCTATTTTACAAAAATATCAAAACACATCGTTGATCAATAAAAGATGGAAATCTGAACAAGTTAAAGGTTATGTTATTGGTATCGATTTAGGAACAACAAATTCCTGTGTTGCCGTTATGGAAGGTAAAACGCCCAAGGTTATTGAAAATGCTGAAGGTTCAAGAACAACACCATCGGTTGTTGCTTTTACAAAAGATGGTGAAAGATTGGTTGGTATGCCTGCCAAACGACAAGCTGTCACTAATGCGGCCAATACATTTTATGCAACAAAACGTTTGATCGGTAGACGTTTCGATGATGCTGAAGTACAAAAAGATATGAAAATTGTTTCGTATAAAATTGTAAAAGCATCGAATGGTGATGCTTGGGTTGAAGCACATGGTAAAATGTATTCACCATCACAAGTCGGTGCCTTTATTTTGATGAAAATGAAAGAAACTGCTGAAGGTTATCTTAATCAACCTGTCAAGAATGCTGTGATTACTGTACCTGCTTATTTTAATGATTCACAACGTCAAGCTACTAAAGATGCTGGTCAAATTGCCGGTTTAAATGTTTTACGTGTAATTAATGAACCTACGGCTGCTGCTATTGCTTATGGAATGGATAAAAGTGAAGATAAACTTGTGGCCGTATATGATTTAGGTGGCGGTACATTCGATATTTCTATTCTTGAAATACAAAAAGGTGTTTTTGAAGTCAAATCTACTAATGGTGATACATTCCTTGGTGGTGAAGATTTTGATAATGCTTTGGTCAATTATTTGGCTTCTGAATTTAAAAAAGATCAAGGAATAGATGTTACCAAAGATATAATGGCCATGCAACGTCTTAAAGAAGCTGCTGAAAAAGCTAAAATTGAATTGTCATCATCATTGCAGACTGATATCAATCTTCCATATTTGACAATGGATGCTTCTGGTCCAAAACATATGAGTTTGAAATTGACTCGATCTAAATTTGAATCACTTGTAGCCGATCTAATTAAACGTACAATCGAACCATGCAAAAAAGCTATCGCTGATGCTGAAGTTAGTAAATCCGATATTAAAGAAGTTATTCTTGTTGGTGGTATGTCTCGTATGCCTAAAGTACAGGAATTAGTACAAGAAACTTTTGGCCGAGCTCCGAGTAAATCGGTTAATCCTGATGAAGCTGTAGCAGTTGGTGCAGCAGTACAAGGTGGTGTTCTTTCGGGTAATGTTACCGAAATTCTTTTGTTAGATGTTACACCGTTGTCTTTGGGTATCGAAACATTGGGTGGTGTAATGACTAAACTTATCAATCGAAACACAACAATTCCGACGAAAAAATCTCAAGTGTTTTCTACGGCTGCCGATGGACAAACGCAAGTTGAAATTAAAGTTTATCAAGGTGAACGTGAAATGGCTTCCAATAATAAATTATTGGGACAATTTTCACTTGTAGGCATTCCACCAGCACCTAGAGGTGTACCTCAAATCGAAGTTACTTTTGATATTGATGCCAATGGTATTGTAAATGTATCGGCACGTGATAAAGGAACCGGAAAAGAACATCAAATTGTTATTCAATCTAGTGGTGGTTTGTCCAAAGATGATATTGAAAATATGATCAAAGCTGCAGAAAAATTTGCCGAAGAAGATCGTAAAAAACGTGAAATTGTCGAAACAGTTAACCAGGCTGAAGGCATTATTCATGATACCGAAAGTAAAATGGAAGAATTTAAAGATCAATTACCAACAGAAGAATATGAAAAATTGAAAGAAAAAATTGCCAAAACTCGTGAAGTATTGGCCAATAAAGATAATGAAACACCGGAAAAAATTAAAGAAACCTGTAATGATTTACAACAATCATCATTGAAATTATTCGAAATGGCTTATAAAAAGGTAAGTTGATTTTTTTTTTGTGTTTAAATTTTTTCTCGACAAATATTAATTTTCTTTTTTGATTAACCAAAACAGATGGCTGCTGATCGTGAATCATCATCGCAATCGCAATCATCATCATCATCGGATTCGACGACAAAAGAAGATGATACAAAAGATGATACAAAAAAAGAAGAAAAGAACTAAAAAAAGATGCCACTATATAATTGAAATAATCAATTTTTTTACAAACAAAATAATCACTTCTCCATATATAACATGTGTAGATTTTTTTTCTTCTTTTTCTTTTCATCCAGATCAAGTCGTAGAATTTCTTTTCTTTTTTTTGTATTTGTTATTAGGATAATATAATATGTCTCATAATTTTGTTCCGGTTTTTCTTTTTTCATTTATTTCAAATTTTTCTTTCTCCTCTCATTCAATTATTAAATAAATAAAAAAATTAAGTTTTCATTTCCAAAAGAATTTGTCTTTTTATTTTTATTTTTAAAAAAGTAAAAAAATTTTATCAAAAAAAAAAAAAAATCATTCGTAATGATTTTGATCGCTCATAAATGTTTTCAATAAAACAGGCTTGATATAATGATGATTGTGCTTGATAGATGGCAGTGTTTGCAGCTGTTGTTGTTGTTGTTTGGTTTCCTGTTCGATAATGATTAGCTGATTGATTGGTAAATTTTGGCTATGAACAAATGATGATGAATGATTATTGTGGTTACCGAATGTTAATGTATTCGATGTTGTTAATAATGGCAATTTTGATGGAGATCTTGGTTGTTTTTGCAATAATGATGAATGTTGAATAGTCGATCCATCATCCTGATCATCTGAATTTACAATTTGTCGTTCATTGACAAATGGAATATGATTGTTTGATTTTTCAAAAGTGTTCGTGATGGATTTAGTAGCATCAATAATTTTCATCGTCAATGGTTCATATATATCATAATAATCAAGTTGGCGATTAGAAGAAGAAGATTCTTGTCTATTGTCACATATTGTTTGTCGTATATGATATTCTTGGATCGATGAAAATGAATCGATAGATTTATTCATTTCATCGTTGCTGTTGGTAATAATTGAATCGATTCCAATAACATTATTATCATTATTATTATTATTGGCATTATTTCGATTGTTTTTTCGTTGTTGGTTACATATGGTTTTTGTTTTGTCCGTATCATTATTATTGTTGGAAAATGATTGTTGTTGTTTGAATCCTGTTCGATTATGAGCAAAGGTTGTTCCCGTTGTTATTATTTCGTGTGAACAATCATTATTCATGTTATGGTTGCCATTATTGTCGTTACTGTAGAATGCAATTATCACATAAATCAAAAATGTCAATACAATAAATATTGATAATATGATTGAAACAATATGAAATGTAGGCATATTTATCATTGATAATTCATTGTTTTGTTGTTGTTCAATAATAATATTTTCTATATTCGAAGCTTTATATGCATTTGTTATGGTTTTTGAATAATTTGGTGGTGGTGGTGCGATCGTTTGTTCGTTATTCGTTGACAAACGAAATGTTTTTATTGCTATTAGCGAAACAGTTTGTTTGATCCATGAATAGAATCGATGAAATATTTTTTTGGTGAATAAATGATCAAATGAATTATCATTATTTGAAAAATGTTTATCACTGTGTCTACCACTACCGCCATCATCATTATCATTATAATAATCATCATCGTGGTTATTGTCATGGTTATTGTAATGGTTATCACGCTGTTTACGACGATAATAAGAACGTTTTTGAAATTTTATTGTTAAATTCATTGATGATAATGCTTCTAAACGTAAATAATTTGATTGTAGATAATGTATTTGTGAATGATTTTCAATAATATTGATTTGTGGATCGATTGATAATCGACCATTTCTGACCACTAAAAAATGTGAATAATCAATCGATGATACATCTAAATTGCTACTATTATTATTGTCATTATTATTGAATATTGTTTCAGTAAAATATGTAGCTAATCGTGGATTTTCCGCCAACCAATCCATACTTGGTTCAATATTTAACAATTTAAATAGATATTTTTCTGGCTTGTCAATTGAAATAATACATACAGCTGCTGTAGTAGGATGATAATAATATTCATCCATTCGATTGTAGCTGTCAAATTCATTCAAACTACTGTTATTATTATTTTTGGCATCATTCTTATTGTGCATTGGGATTTGTTTTTGTTTCTTTTCATTGTCAGATTCCTCTTCATTATTATTTGCTTGATCGATCCGTTTATTCTTTTTACGTTTCTTTTTCATTTTCATGTTTGAATTAAGTTTTTTCAAATTTTTTTCCTCATCATCATCATCGACAACAACATCACCAACAATATGATTGAATAAATAATCATCATCTAATAGTAAGGCTGATTTAGATTCAGAAAAAAATTCTTCATCATCATCATGTTTTGAACATGTTTTTATTATTAAATTTAAAATGATTGTTTCTTCATTATCACCATCAACAATATTCAATGTTTCAAACTTTTTTTGATTGACATGATTCACATCATGATCATCATCATTGAAAATTTTGTTTGAATTAAGTTTACAACTACACGCATGTGTTCTTACTACGATCCTATCTATTTGATTAAGTGATTTGTTTGAATGTTGTTGTTGAAAAATATTTGGCTGCTGCTGCTGCTGTACAAATCGTATGTTGGATGGATTCCGGTTGTTTAATGATGAATTATTTACTAGTATTTTAACATCCGAAAATGCATTGTGGTTGATTGATGTTGACATTCGTTGAGAATAATTTTCATTTTCATCATCATCAACATTCTTCTGTATGAATGATTCGTATTCGTTATTATAAGAAGAAGAATTGTAATTTTCATTGAATGTTTTTAATTTTATTTGTGCATTCGTATTGCTACTGTTCATCACTGATTCATCGTTGTTATTGTTGTTGTTACTGTTATAATTGAATTTAATCTCACTTGGATACGATGATGATGATGACACAGCACGATGTTGACCAACGATATCTCGAAATGCTGATGATGATTTTGTAAAACTATCCAAGTGAACAAAATTTCCATTTGGTTGTTGTTGTTGTTGTTGTTGTTTATCTATAGTCGGTATACAATGTGGTATATTTTCATATAAAACTGCATTTTTATAAAGGATTAAATAAACTAAACAATAATAGATATCTTCATTTGGTTGAAATGTATTGCAATCGATTTTTATTTGACCACCATCACCACCAATGACAGTAGCTGCATTAGTAGTTTGGCTATCGTCATTACCATCGTGAATGGCATCAGTATGATTATCATCGTGATTATTATCCATCCTAATCATATCCAAAGAATATTCTCGTACATAATGAAATTTTTTCATTTCAATCAATGTTGATGGTCTTGTTGAATAATAAAAAAATTGATAATAATGATTACCCTGTTGTCTTTGATTATGATGATATGGATTAGTTAGATTTGTCCAATAATGGATTTTTTTATTATTGTTTTTTATTATTTTCCTTTTTTTCTTAAGAAAATGTGACAATGATGATGATGACCACATGGATTGTCTATGCAGTTGTTGTCGTTGTTGTTGTTTCAGTTGTTGATGCATAACGGCAGCTGACAGCAAAACTTTATCCACTACATCTTTATCGGTCCAATATAGTCGTATCAGATGGCGTATATTCAAGTTGTCATTATTATTATTTGTTGTTGATAATTTTACTATTGGATCGAATGATTGAGTGTATCGATGATGATGATGATGATGATGTTCAATAAAAGAAGAATGATGAACTTTCCAAAATAATCGAACATCAAATGTATCTAAACAAGGAAAAATAGTTGATGCTGTTTGAAAATGACCATTTAACATTGATATCAATGGTAATGACCAGTTTAAGCTCGTTATTTTTGATGAATGATTTGGATGATGAATTGCTCTTGAATTTTCTGCTATGAATGAATATTGCACACACCAATGCAAATAAATTCGGACAAAAGGAATAAGGGGCAAAATAGAAAGAAAAACAAAAAAAGAATAAATAAAATTGAATTTTCAAAAAGAAATGATCATCTACAATCGATACAATCGATAATTATTGTTTGAAAATTTAGTCCAAAAAAAAATAAATGACATCCGATCTATCCTATGCGGCATATGATATTGAATGTTTCTCATTTTGTTGAAAACTCTATCTATATCTGAAATGATGATGACAATAATAAAAGCGAATGATCTGAACAGCTGCATGTCTGATCCAAACACACAAATATATCAGTGATATTAGTGATGTTTGTTTGTCTGTGCTGGAGAATGTTTACCGAATAAAATGAAATGAAAACCAACAATTTTCACCCGAAAAACTCGAAAACAAATATCAATAATGATCATTATTTTTCATTGAAAACTTTGAATTTTTATAGATTTTTCATTGCAAAAAAAAAATTCGTGTTCGAATATCGTTAACTAAACAAGAATCATGAAAAAATTTTCCATCGATAACGCTTTTTGTTTGTTTGTTTTGGAAAAATAACATTTCGTGTTTGTTTTTGTCATTGTTTCGTCAATGGTTTAAAACTTTTTTCACATATTGCATTATTATTGTTGATCATTTTCTGTTGCAAAAAACTTCATTTTTCGTTTCATTCTCAAGATACGCCTCGATTTCCTTTTTTTTCATTCTGATTATGATTGAATGACATCTATGAATTGGGAGAAAAAAAATTCTATGGAAAAATTGGAAACACTCATATACACAGAGGGAAAACCTTCAACAGCAAAAAAATTCAGAAGTTTAATCAATGAAACGGTCAATACAATAATGATGAAAATGAAAACTGTAAACAAAAAACTGAAAAACTGGAAACTGGAAAAACAATTTGTCGAAAGTCATCCGATAGGAATCAAAAAATAATAACGAAGAAAAATTGGATGCCAAATCAAGAAAAGAAGAATAGATTTTGTTTTTCATTTTGAAAATCAATTGAAAATTTTTCTTATTGTTTTTTTTTTTGTTGCTGGAAAAATAATAATAAAATTTTGAAAAAAGAAACTACGAAAAATCAATATCGCAATACAGAGATTGAATATCATCATTCTATTTTCACACCCGAAACATTCATTAGTTGGTTTCAACAACAGTAAAATACATTGAAAACATCATTCCAGAATTGATTTTTTTTGGTCCATGTTCTAATGATGATGCTAAAATGTAAAAACAAAAAAAACTTTTTGCTATCTCCATTGCAAAAGTTACATTTAATAATTAAAAAAAGAAGAAGAAAGATTTGCAGATTAAAAACACTGAATTTTGCTTTGTCATCATCATCATATTGCATTTGGAATGAATATTTTTTCACTGTGAAACTTTTTTTCCATAAATATTTTTCACTATCGGATGAATTTTGTTTTCGTTTTTTTCTGCCAATAATAATTCACATTCTTGAGCAACTGTGCGGAAATTTTTTCTCTTGTTTCTGAAAAATTGTTTTACATTTTTTGTCAAAACGATCCATAACAAATGGGGGGAAAAGCTGATCCCTGAACATTGTTGTTGCATTTTTTCAGTTTTTTAGTAGATAGGTTCCATCAGACTGAAAAAAGAAACCAGAAGAGAAATTAGTTATTACAATTCAAACTTTTTGTTTTCTCTCTGTTTAATAGGACGTTAATGCCTGATATGACTGCTGTATGCACTGGGATATGTGTGTATGAATAAAATCGTTTAACCAGGATCAGGATTATCGATCGATCCGATTATGTTGATGGTGATGATGGTGGCGGCAGCAGTACAAATATGATGAAAATTCAATTTTCCTCACATGCACACATTGCTAAAATCGATTAAATTTGGGCAATCTAGAATCTCTATTTTGCTTCGCTAGCTTTGCATGATGATGATAATATTGCTGATGATACGGATCATAATCAATTGAAACAACGACAAATTCGATTCATTTCGATTCTTATAAGCATCTTTTCAATCTTTTTTTTCCAGTCAATATCAAATTACTCGAACGAAACAAATCATATTTGATTGTATCCGAATTAATTTTGCTACATTTTTTTTCCATCATAATTAATTATTTTTGCCTATTTATCGTTGAATGAATTGGATTTTTTTTTCGTTTCACAAGTCGATAATGTGATTGTTTAATGGAGAATATAATGGACCGGAAAATTTGGAGCCAAATTCATCATTTGGAAATCTTATTTATTTCAAGCAGAAAATCAAAAAAATGCAAATAATGTGCCATAACAAAAACAGAAAAATGTCAACAGGAAACGTTGAAAGGACCCTGTTTATCGATAGAAATAAATAAACAGAAAAAAAGTAAATCTTGAAGAATTTTTTTCACATTGAATAACGGTATATATAATTTCATGAGTTGAATTTCAATATTCCATTTTTTTCTTCAAAAAAATAAATAAATGAATGGATCAACAACAACAAAAACTTGAAAAAGTTCCAAAGTATGGATCATCATCATACATTCCAACAATAGATTTTTCATTTGGCATTGTCATTTGGTAAGCCTCACTCGCTATTCGATTGTAGCACTACGTGCTTGCATATATTGGATTTGTTTATAATTTCCATTTCCCCAAAATTTTTGCATCAAAGTTTATCATTTTTTTTCTTCTATACTTCTTTGAATATATGAATTGAATTGAAAACAACAACGAAAAAAGTTTTTTTTTCAAATTGATTTTGCCTAAATGATAACTCAATTATTATTTGTTTATTATCATCATCATCATCATCACATACTTTATATACTTTTTTTTCAATTTACTATGTTTTTTTTTGTTTTTCACCAAAAAAACAACAGGAAAAAAAGTTCATCACTGATCAACAAATCTAACTGTATGGAATCCAATGCAAAAACTTTTAGTTTCATGCAGACAAACAGATAGAAAAGATGCTACAAACATACGCATACATAACTGAAAATAACTTTATTTTTTTTATACCCAAAATCGTAATTTAATTCGTTCGTTATAGGAATGTTTTTTTGTTAGTTTCTATCATTGATGATTTGGATCGATTCATAATTCAAGGGAAGGGAAATTTGTTTTTGTTTTGAATGTGATGACAATTGTTTTGCAAATGACAGAATGGAAGTCAATTCTTTCATCGATTATCATCGCATTCGCATTCAGTGATTATTGTTTTTTCCTTTTATTATTTTCCGATTCAATCAAAAAAGCAAAGCAAAAATTATTATAATTTTCAATTGATCGAACCATATGAATGAATGAATGAATTGATTTTTTTTTCATTTCATTTCACTCAATAGTTTTTTTTATTTGCGGTTTTTACACCGAAAAAACAAAAAAAAAAAGATCAGAAATAAGTTGAGAAATTNTTTTCATTTCATTTCACTCAATAGTTTTTTATTTGCGGTTTTTACTATTCAATATTTGAAACATTTTTCACCGATCGATGATTGATTTGTCAACTTTGTTGAAATTCTTATTCAGTGTGTCGGTGTGGTGTGGTTTGAATTCTCGATTCAATTTCAATGTTGTTATTATCATCACACAAACACAGAGATAGATTGAAAAAAGTAAATTTCAACCAAAAACTCAATCATCATCATCGTCATGCATGATGATTTATTCAATGCACACACATTTCTGGAGGTCGTATTTATTTTTCTGTTTTCCTGATTTCGATTTGAATTTGGATTTTTTTTTTGTGAACTTTTTTTTCTCCAAATTTTTCTGATTCAATTTGATTGAGACGAGTCCAATGAATGAATGAACGAAAGAAAGACCCCAAAGACAATTTCTTTTGCTATGTTTGTTTCAATTTTCTTTCAATGTATACATAGTGTGTGTTTGCAAACATTGCCGTTTTTCTTCTTCTTCTAACCGCTTGAATATTTGATGATAATGATGATAAATTTTCATTGAATGAAAATGAAAATGAAATTGTGCAAATGAAAGATATGAACAAATTGAATCAATTTTCTTTGGTTTTGCATAAAAAATCATTATCATCATCATTGGTGTCACATCATAAACTTTGGTTGATAGGATAATTTCGATTCATATTTCTCCATGGCAAGATTTCTGGCTCCATCAACAACAACAACAACAGAATGATTTTCGATAAGCTTCTTCTATTTATTTGGGTACATATCATTTATGTTTTGGGTCATTTTCTATCATATCTTTATCTCTTTTCATTCCATTCAGTTATTCAATCAGGTTCATTATCCGTATGAAAAAGAATTTACCCATTTGGCTTTGCTGTTGGAACGCATCAATTATTTTCATATGTATCCTGTGTGTGTGTTTGAATATTCATCATCAAAGAG